ATTGACACGGGTAAGAGCTCCGGTTACTTCCGGGACCATAGCTGTACCCTTTCTACTTCGCGAAACATTTCCCATTGGCAAAAGATAGGCATTAGCACAATTCCGACAAAAAAGGTGCAGTGTATGCAGCTTATGTATGCAGTGCGTACATATTGCCAGCCTTTAACTTTATTATCTTTCTTTCACAACATTTTTTATTTATAATGTTGACTGTTATCACGACCTTGATATAATCAATACCGATAAGGCTAGCAATACATTTAAGATCCGCGAGAAAAATACATTTTGCTTTAGCATTCTTCTTACTAAAGTATTATGATTAGAGTATACCGAGCTGTATTATATACAAAAAGAGCGCATCAAGTTTTATAAAATATTCGTCCAAACAAGACAAAAATGATGTTTGCGATCGTTTACAAAGCTTGCATTTGTTTCATACATTGAGTTATTTAGTTTTGACTATTGTCAATAAAACAGAGAAACGGTGTCATAGGAACGAAACGATCTCAATATTCCTTAAAAATCACATTGTTTGAGCTGTATCCAGTCAAAACAATGAGTTCAATGATTAATGAGTGTCGTACATGGTACAGACAAAAAAATGAAAATAAAATTAACAAAGATTTGTTGGAAAAGCACAGTACTCATGCAAAAATAAACTTACGCTTAGTTTTTGAAAACAAGTTATAAAATGAAAACAATAAAACGCGTGCAGTGATTGGTCTAGGCCGTGTTTGCATTAGCAAGTGCAAAACACATTTGAAGTCAACCGACCAAATCAATCAAAACAATCAATCAGACAAAGAGAATTTGCAACTCGAGTAAAATTAAAACGTTGTCTTTTTCGAACCCTCATGGCAACCCTTGACCTTCGGTCCCGGGTTTGCACTGATCTGCTGACGAGTTCTCCCAAAGGTCTCCTCGGTTTGCATAAGCATGTGCAAACACAGAAAACATCCTTTATTTCTTAATAAAACCTAATTCCCGTACCTTAAATCCCAGAGATATATAAAGCTGTCGAAAGAGCACGTTGCCAACAACCTTGGATCAAACCTCGACCAATTTAAGCAACTGAAAGAAAAACACACCAAAATGGAAATAAAATAGATCTAAACAGAAATGGCTCAAAAACTATTCATTATTCATAAGAATAACAATGCTTGAGTAACGATTCATTGAGGGCAGAAGATACTATTCTGGGCGGGTTTGTGAGTGAATAACAAAAAAATTGACAAAAATTTCCACAAGGCGATGAGACATAACATATGCTATATCATCACAATCTTATTTGTGTTGAAAACAATTCAGGAATACGAAAAACCTCTGATAATAGGTTGTACTACAAGAAGTTGAAGACCAAAAAATTAAAAAATTTATCGGTTTTTGAAAGTTTTTTAAATTCTCACTGAGCAATATTTTTCATTATTACTTGATTACACTAATTTTTGCACCAACAATTTACATTTTTCCATATAAATTTCGCCAAGACAAAGATGTCGACACATAATTTGTAGTTTCGAAGACAATTACCTTTAACCTCGATCAATTTCATTTTAAGTATGAGGCAATTTAAAGTTTGAAGTCTTTCCCTGTTTTCCGCTTTCGGAAACACGTAGTTATTAGTTACAAGCAGATATGCTCCAGCCATATGTAAAATATGAAGGATTACCATTATTTATTGATGTAGAAATCAATATTTTTGATAGTCATTTAACACAAAAATATAACAAAAAGTTGGGCAGCCTATCCTATTTAAAACAATACTGTCATATCATTATTATATCATCCAATGAGGGATAATTGTATTCATACCTATATTCAAAAAATTGTCTTAAATTATCATAAAATTTGTCTGAGTCATGTGCAAAAAATATTTAAATAATGCAGATTTGCTCTGAAATTTACGAGAATGATAGCAGTTAAAAGCTCATCTACAGGTAAATTATTATCTACATCTGATAACAAACCACTACAGAGAAATTGAGATCAATTGTATCATTTCTGCCATTTAAACATACACCGTAAAAAATTAAGTTTAAAATTTAAAAGGAAACAAAACATGTTAATTCACACAGTTACACACAGTATTTATAAAGAAACATTTGTCTAGAAAATCTGACATGATCTGCGTCGCACAGATCACATTAACATATCATTATGATTTTTAAAGGGAAATGGCAATATTTTTTTTATAATTATTACAGTACATTACCCCTAAATATGAAAAAAAACACCAAAAATTTGTCATCGCTTTCGTTTGGGTGGAATAATTCGTCTCTTTTTTGATTTTAATCATAGCATGTCATTGAGTTCTATAATAACTGGAGCGGCTATCTCAAGCGCGGCCTTAGATATCTGATGTTGTAAAAAACATGGCGGATTTCGTCCGTTGCCGCTGAGATTTACCGAAATTGACCGCTTTTCCGAAAATTTCACAATTTCCCACTCCCTCCTGAAGAAAGAGTGAGGAAAATGTATGTGTGTATTTGGGATTCGGCTAGCAATTTTTTGATGAAAATCACGATAAAAACCTACAATTCGTAACAGCGAGTCAACTGTGCTTGCTTTCCAGTCATCGGCTCCTGCGAGGAAAACTATTAACTATAAACTATGTACGAAAGAACTCTTTGAACGTTTTTAAACATCGTGTCTAATGTACATGTGCACGATGTGGACGATGTGGTCTCTTTTCAAGGTAAGGAGAAAGTCTTGAGCCATGTCCAGCCGACAATTTAAAAAAGATGGTAAAAAACAAATTCTGAAGAAACGAGATATCTCGAGATGAAAAAATGTGAATGAAAACAAAACGCGAAGTGAACTGTAAAATTTCGATTTATTTCAAAGTCATCCTCAGACAGAATGATAATCCAAACAATGCATACACATATATATTTACAATGCATGAATTAAGTAACGAAAGTCAAGCAATAGAAATTAAATAGTTTGATATTTACGAAAGCGGAGTTGGAAGTGCTGTCATATTTTAAAAGGATGAATTGAAACAAGAGACCAGACTGGTGGAATGAGTGTATTGTAATTTAAGAGAAGAGTTGTAATTCTTTGCTAGCCTTAAGTCCCGTGTTAACAAACCATTTCTTAATATATGTGTATGCATGGTTTGGATTATCATTCTGTCTGTGGATGACTTTGAAATAAATCGAAAATTTACAGTTCACGTCTTGTTTTGATTCACATTTTTACATCTCAAGATGTCTTGTTTCTTCAGAATTTGTTCTTTACTTAACTCTTAAAGAGTACTCTATAGTCATATTTATGTCAATGTGGTAATGTATGTTAGTGCAATCAGACTAAGTTACACAACATATTTGCAATAAGAATTTTCTTTTAATGAAGTTTTGAGAAAAAACAATATATAATCTTTTGTATTTCTGCTAAAGATGACTAAATGACAAAAAAATATTTAAAATTTATTTCCTTGTAAGGTTTATTGTACAGTTGCTGCAATTGTTCAGCACGTTTTGACTGGTAGGTTTCCTTCCCTACACTGCTTGGCAACATGGCCCAATCTTTTGCATATGTAGCAACGTCGTCCTGTTAAATATTCATAAGAAAGTTGTAGTTCATAAAACTTTTATTTGTTTGTGTCATTAGCTTAATTCTGTTAACAATAATGCATGCAACTTGAAGTTTTCAACCATCTAATCAAGCTGATGTTTTATCACTAGGTCAATCAAACTTACTTCTTCTCATACGATTAAACTCTATACAAAAAAGTATATAATTGTCAATTACAATGGTCATGAAAGAAATGTTATTTCATTTTTGTCATTACTTTTCTTGCATTCATTCATTTTGTGGCCTTTGTGGCCACAATTATAGCATCTTCCTTCATTAAAAAAAACAATGGCAATTATCAGCCAGGCATCAAAGGCAATTAGTACATGTATACACTATACCACACCTTTAAATGAACTTTTTGCTTCGACATTGCTTTCTACATAAACAAATCGTTTGTTAGGTGCTGTTTGATTTGTTATGTGTATGATTAAATTTCAGGTTAAAAGACTCTTGGTGAAAAGACTCTTGGTGAAAAGGCTCAGGTGAAAAGACAAAAGTATCATGTGAGAGCTGATGGGCATATATCATATATGAATGAGAACAGTATTGTATACAAAGCACTGTTTACCTTCTTTATTTTTTTGGTTTTCAGAATTGGAGCCACCTCAAATAGTAGTAGATTTTTAGCACATTTTGATGCATTGTTGTATTGTGTAATAAAGCAAAAAACAATTTTGGCTAAATACACACTTGCATTTTCATTATCTTCCTCTTCAGTTTCCTGACCTGTTTTGAATGCAATTGAACTATTTGAGTGATTTTCAGTTTTCAAAACAAAAACAAATTTTATACACATTTGATACCAGTGTCCATTGCTTTTTCCTCATCTGTATAATCTAGCATCTGGTGTTTTTGTATGCAAAAAACGATAAAGTGTAAATAGATATTTTGCAAGAAGGGATTTAAACCATGTAAATGAATCACTTTTTGTTTACTTCCATGCTGAAAGCTTCATATAAAGCTTTTCAGATCAGAAATTATTAAATTATTGATCTGTACTAACCTCTTTTCATCCATGGACCACAATAGAAAGTTGGCAAATACAATAAAAACAAGAAATAAGCAAAGGAAAATTCAGACAAGTTTTAAAATATTTATAGTATTTAAAAAAAGCGGGAAAAAAATGCAAATGACAAACGCCAATGCTGTATTCTGATTGGTTAACAAATCAAACTTTTTTAACTATGAAGAACTAAATATTGCATTGAATTTTAAAGTTTTTTATAGTTTGTAAGAGATGATTCCCATGATAATATACATGTAAATTTAGCGTGCACAAATCGTTAATTGCTGTATCAGTAACGTTGAAACAGGGGTGTAAATCCTGGAGAGGGGATTGATATGTGGTGGCTCAGCCTCTCCCTTTCAAAAAGTTAGCAGTTTTGTCGAGCAAAGCATGTAATTTTGCGGAAATTAAAACGGCAAATATTAACGATGACGTTTGGATCAACTCATAACTAAGTAAAAAGCGATTTTGCTGGTATTAACATAAAAAATTACACTACGTTTTTGTTGGGCAAATCAAATTCTGCAACGTTTCCCCTCTCCATTCTCGGGACTCAAGTCACACCCCTGCATTCAAGTAAAATTCTTCTAAATTTTTTTTCAAGTTATTCGAAGTTTAACCATTGGCTTTTTACAAGTCAAGAAACTATATAAACAATGTGAACTCATTGAACTATAAGGTACAAAAAAATGTTAAAGATAAAATGTTACGCATCATGAACGTTGTTCAAGGACTTCCGCATGCAGATCATCCCGGCAATATTCATAATGTCACCTGTAAGTTAAACACGTGCGTTTAATATTGAGTAACGTTTATTTTTAAAAGAACGTTAACAATTCATTTATCAATTGACAGACTGGTTTAATTTTGAAAAAAGCACTTACTACAACGCTCGATCTGATTGAAAGTGCTATCAATGTTAGGACCACAAAATAGTTTTCTTATGTCGTCCAATTGGGCTGTTTTGTTGAGTATTTTTCTCTATAAAAATAGTTCAAAATGAATATTGTGCTATTGTTGTTCTATATTGTACTATGTTGTAGAGGAATACTCACATAGAAGACTTGCATTTCGAATTACTTCTCATTCTTTTTAATTGTTTAGTTACGTAAACTAGGTTATAATTTCATGTTACATTTTAAGCCTCGAACACAAATGTGCAGGCACCATTAAATTTCTCCTCGAAACACATATTGCTATGTGCCAGGACGCCTACAGCCTCAAAAAAATGGAATAGTCAAATGAAAAATTCCATTTCTAGGCACAGGCAAAGCCTCGAAAACACAATAGTGTCCAGGCAACGTTCAATCTACTGATGATTGAACAACACAAGCAGACAGCTTTTACGAATTTTCTGACCCTGCAACTTATCGTTTTGCGTTTTGGTCAAGTGATGCATTCTTATTTTCACAAATGCCTCAGCACAACACTTTATCAGTTTATAAGCATGATTATCTGTAACTGTCGACTCTAACACATGCTCATCTAACATGCTAAAAACTTTTTTCTCTACACACACAGATAATACCGTCGCAGCAATTGCACTCGATATGTTTGCTGCTGCATGTGGCAAGCCACCATGGCAGGAATTTACCATCCTCATTACACATTTCTCTGTTTCCTGACACACTTTCAGAAGATCGTCAGTTGGTATTTTTAAACCACCGTTGCTCTTCCATGCCACAAATAGTTCTGGTGCTCTTTCTTTAGATGATGTCAGAGCATCCATACAATCATCACAATGGATCTTCCTTTTCACCATTTTGCGACATACCCAGCAATATACGATATTGCTGCCTCCTTGTAGTCTGAAAGCTGAATGTAGTTTGAGGTGTCGCTGTAATCGTGGTCAGTTTGTTCTGGCCCACGCAGTTCTAGATCGTATCTTCTTGCAGTATTTACATCGGAAATATCTGCCGACATTTGTTCACTCTCACACCGATCTTCTAGTCTACTTAGAATTTCGGTACCATCCTGAGCAACACAATTTCCATGACCTCCTTTAATGTTATGTCGCATCAACAACTGCTTGTACGCTGCTTTGAACTGTCGAGATGTCGGGTTGTTGTTCCAACCTCCTGACGCTCGCACAGCTGAAAAAAACAATTCTAAATGATCTTGACTTGTCTTATAAGTAAGCAAATATTTAAGGGGAGAATTTTCACTTATAACAAGATCCTCAGCAAGCCCTTGCACTGCTTCAATGCACAACAGAAACCCCAAGAATCCTGTTTTCCTCTTATGGGAAAAATCGACTTTCCATCAGCACCCTTCAGATTTAAGACGTATTGCCTTGCTTCATCCAAGAAGGTTTTATCAGCTTGTAATTCGCTTTCCTTATTGGTGCTTTGTAATTTTAGCAATTGGATTCCTGGAATTCAAAACGTCAAACAAGCGATCAAATACTCGAATGAATTTGACTGTTTTATCACACCCTTTAAACTGTGGAAGTTTGAGCTTACCTTCACAGAACTCTAAAGCATCTGCAACACTCGAGCTGAGTGCTTGCACTGCTAAATTACCTTCATTTTCTGTGGCTTCCAGTTTATGTGAGCTTTCTTTAGTTTGTTGGCAAGTCGCAAGCCTTCTGAGGCTTGCAGTTTTCTAGCTCAACTAGGTATTGCCATCTTACCAAACCATCTTTTTCATCCTTCAGAGTTCTCAATTCAGAAATTGCTCCTCTGACAAGCTTGATCATATGACAAGGATCTAAAATGCATAAATTTTCAACATTAAATCAGATGGATGTAAAAATATGCTTGGAAATCATTAAGTGAAAGTTTCACTCCAAGCAACTTCATCATTGCAAGATGTGTGGATGGACCATCACACGTTAAACTTCCAACTTTAACACCAACATCATGCAACTGCATCAAACACTCCTTGGTTAAATTTGCTTTTACTTCTGCAGTGAGGCCATCTACCAAGAAGTAACCAACTGGTACTTTCAAGATGAATCTAGAGCAACAGCCATGTATACCAAAACTTCTGTTGCTTCAGGGAGTGAATCATCGTCAATCCCAGTACCAAGGTCAACATAACCACAAACTTTTTGACCATCCCATTCTACGTGTTTGCGGATTGACATTTCATCCAGCATCAATGCACATATGACTTCCTTGCCATCTTTCTTTGATTCTTGAACCTTCACTTTCAAAGCATTCAAGGCATCCTTGGTGAAACCAGGGTCACCATCCACGGAATTATACCAAGATCGAATTACTCTTGGATGAGGTAAGGCTAAATTAAACTTCTCACGAACATAATCATAAGCCTTAGGCGAGTAAAATTTCAAAGTTAGTGCAAAAGCTTGCAATTCTGGGGGGTATTGAGCACCTTTTTTACCCTGAGTGTTTGCCACTAAACGACTCAAAATATCTTCAGGAACCCCAGATAGTGAAGCATTAAGAAGTTCAGCTTGATCAGAGCTGATCATTTTATCATCTTTAAGGCAATCAATGATTGACAATAAATCATTTACCTTCTTTTCAGTCTACTTTTTCCATATTAGACACTTTTAACCTCTTTCTATAATACTCTGCCCGGTCTATAACATCTTCCAATTGTCTTTTCAGTCTCCTGGGAGACTTAAGACAATACAGTGATCATGAGTAGAGAAATGACGACTCACCTTTTCAGTGCTCTTCGTACATTCAACATCCTTCACCTGTTGAAATAATGTGGGCACAGCACTATCTTCTAGACACACTTTGTTACCTGATATTCTCTTCATGCTATCGGAAAAATGATCTGAGCAAACTCTGCTCCACTTAGTTAGAACTGTGAGAGGCGACCATTTCTTTATACTATTTACCCATTCCAAAAAAAGTGCAGGGTTTTTTTCTTCGTCAGGAAAACTATTTGAAATAGATTAGTAAATTTATTGTTTCATGCGTTGATTCAACAAATAAATAAACAAATTTGTTGAATTTTTTAAAAAACACACAGGAAAACATCAGTGTATGCAGTATTTAAGACAATGTTTTTTCATAAGGCCTAACAGATTTTGGGGCTTTCAATTGTATAAATGCCGATTCAATCTTTCAGGAACAAACAAAATAAGCGAATAACTCACCTGTGAAAAGCGATGTCCTTCGCGTTGTCAATATTACGACATTCTACAATTGAACATCGATTAGGCATTTTTGAAAAAAATATTGTTTTGGCCTTGAAAATATTGTTTATTTATCATACAGCTTGCAATTGCATTTGAAATTTTCAACTGAAGGCGGGAAAATCAATAACATCAATCCGGAGGAGGTCGAGAATATTATTTTTCTGCAAAGCGATCATTTCAGCGGAAATACGTCCGTTGGCCGCCATGTTTTTTACAACAGTTCCCAGTCCACTTAGCCGCTCCAGTTATTATAGAACTCAATGTAGCATGTTCGTCGCCATCTTGTAAAGATTTTTATTATGCTAATTTATTTGTGTTTTAGCAAAATGACGTCACAACTGGGTAAGCGTTCCTCGCAAATACAAGTCTTGTGTATATATGTTAACATATAGCCATGTAGTGTCCGGTTTATTGCTTTAATACCAGCAATGAAAAAAATCCCGACAAAAAAATTTACTTTTTCTAAAACAATTAATTCCCTGTTGTGACGTCATGCACATTTCCATAATAGCTTGCTTTTAAATTCCTTTCTTCAATTTTATTTATATTCAAAGTGAGTTAAGGAGAGTTCTACAAAGAATTACGATGTCATATAAAATTCAAATAAATATTTATTGGTAGTGAAAAAAAATTGGTTGCCATTCCTTTAACCAATAAAGTTTCTTTTCTGAAACAGTAAGCTTTACAAAATTTGGCATAAAATTTTGGGTAGTAATATGAGCCTGGTAGAGCATGGTGTAACGTAGCCTTAGCGGATTGATTAGAAGTCGATTAATGCAAATGTACCAACAAACTACGTGTACAATAAACGGTTGTTGTCAAACAGGATAAAAAACGGTGATATCATCATTGACTGTTTACGTGTTGTTTCCATACCTCACAGATCGTGTATGAGCACGCAAGTCTTGCAGCTTCTTTCCTCCGCCATCTTCCCATGTCCACAGTTCTATCTTCTGGTTGCTCTAAACAAAATAGCAGAAAGATTTTATAAGAAAAAACATGCTTCAAAAAACAACATCGCGTAAATTCAACACATGAGCTTTTAACACAAAGCATAGAACAAACCTACAAGTTGCAGCAGTAATTCGACACTATACTAAGCCTGGTTTAACGATGACTTAGGAATTAAGTACAAATAGATTGAAAAAACTCGAAATTTCCCCGTAAATTGTACTTTGTTGCATAAAATATCTCGAATTTACAAGACGTTATTTTTTAAGTCTGCTTTTCTATGGCAAGCCAAAGTGGACAAAAGTGTATTGAGTTTTAAAATTGATAGTTCAGTGTAAAACTAAGAAATTGATAGTCGAGAAAAGAAATCGCATGTCGAGTCCAACAAAATTGACCTGCTCACCACTGTGTGACTTCATAGCTCAGTTGGTCAGAGCACTGCACCGGCACCGCAGAGGTCATGGGTTCGAATCCCGTTGAGTCACCTGATTTTTTCAGGTTCATGAGACAATTGCTTAAATTGTCCAGCAAAAGTGTGAAGATCATATCTTCATTTCAAACACCGCACTGCATAAAACATTCTTCAAAAGTTGTTTGATGTGATAATGTCTGGAAATGGGCCTTCAAAATCTATTCCATACAATTCAAAATTTATTAATGATGATTCGTCTGACTCCAACAGCATGTTTGTTTGCCACATAGCCATAGGTGTTTGGTGAGAGCATGTTCTGAGCCCATGGTAATTCCATGGGTAACAAATTCAGCCAATGAAGCATTAATTCGAGGTAGATAAACGAACTGTAAACAGAATAGATGCACCTCATTCAATGAATCAAGTAATGAATTCTCTTCCAAATGTTTGAAGATTCCTTTGTAAGGTGCAGATAGAACTCTGTTGACCTCAGCCCATAGTCTTTCTATCCGCTGGTTATGAACACTTGAAATCATACATTTTGCCACCTCAAAATTTTCAACATCATGGTCTCCTCTCACTCTTGATGGCAATCCAAAATCTTCAACACCTTGCTTTAATAAATTCAAAACTGTTGATGCTTTATTATCAGTGCAACATTTTAAGTAAATAATGGCTCGACTAAATCCATGAATGCAACCATGTATAACCATCCTCCATGATATAAGCTTGTGATTTTAATCTAGATGCCATAAATTTTTGGGTCCTTTAACATTATAAACTCTTCGACAAATAGCATATCTTCTTCTCAAGCTTCGACCTATAGGATCAACACGTTGCAAACTTTCCCTCACTCGTGATCTCTGAACAAGTACACCTCTTGCATGCAAACTTCCTTTCACATAAGTCTCTCCACTATATGGTGTCAATTGCAGGATTTCTTCTATAGTTTGGTCCAAACAACTGTCAGATACTTGAGAATAAGTTGGTGCAATACCAAATTCTTCCCTCCTACGTGACAGGGTTTCCTCTGATACCTGTAAAAAGGGGGCAAGACTCTTCCAGTTCATGCCTGTCTCTCGCGATAGCTCGATTTGTTCTTTGGTTATATCATACGCTGGCCTACCCCCCGTACTAGGGAGCATTTTCATTATTCTTTCCCTCTGAGTCAGATTTTGATTAAAATTATTTTCCAAAACCTCTGTTATTTTTCCTAAATCTATTTTCATGTATTCCATCAGATCATCTAAAAGAGCACCTAGTGAACGTCTTTGTATAATTTCACCAGTAGCATCAGGTTCGCCAATCGTGTCAGTTCGCGTTGTTGTACTTTAATAGACATTGCTGCAATAACTGGAATATAAATGTCAAGCTTATTTTTATTATATTCTATTAAAACTGGATCATTAACACGAAGACTCTGTGTTATATCAGTAAACAGTTTATCGAGGAAATTAAGAAATCGAACAAGCTCTTCCGTTTCAGACGCATCAGACGCCATTTTTTGAAAAGTAGAATGGCTTAGAAGCCGCTGACCTCTTGTACAGACAGAAATCGCGACATACGATTTCTTTTTCTCGAATCTCGACATACAATTTCTTTTTCTCGACTGTCAATTTCTAAAACTCGACATGCGATTTCTTTTCTCGACTATCAATTTCCTTAGTTTTACACTGAACTATCAATTTTTAAAACCCAATACACTTTCGTCCACTTTGGCTTGCAATACATTTATGTATCATTGTTGTTTTCGTTTTCTTGTCTTTTGTAGCCAAGCCATTTTCCCATAGTTCCGCTTATTTAGTTTATCACAATAACAGAACTACTTCATTTTACTGTATAAATTAAGGGCAATTGTACTATAACTTGGTGTAATAGACTAACTCGCGTCAGTTGTATCATGAATTGTTGTTTTGTCTTTATGTTTGGTGAAACATGATTTGAGTTTTTGTGTAGGTTTGTGGGCGACGTTAATATTAAATGTCGAAGAAGTCTGGCAGTCATTTCTGATGTTCCGTTTATGTATGGTAATGTGACGATTTTTACTGTTTCGTCCGGTTTCTTGTTGTTTTTGTCGGTTTGTGCTTTGTTTTGTATTCTGTTTATAGTTTTGTTTTGAAACTTCATAA